GGGCGGGGGGGCAAGCGGGTGGGATTCGCCCCCAGCCTCACCAGGAAGTGCAGGACAGAGACCCAACAGCACACAGTGGCAGACACGGCACATGGCAGCAGACACAGCACACGAGCTGCTTTGTGGCTTCGTATTTATTTGACTGGGGACAGGGCACAGCCTGGGGTGAGGTACACAGCTGGTGGGAGCAACAGCTACACCCCAAGAAACACCCACTGCAGATGTCCCCTGAGCCAGGGGTGCTGCTGCTACTGCTATTCGGTGGGCAGGAAAGAGTTTAAAACCAGCATTCTCTTTAAAAGTCAGCCCAGGTGCTGGCCAGGGGCCCAGCCTGTGGGCGGGGGGGGGAGAGGTCTCACCCCAGCACATGCGTGTCCCTCCCAGGACAGCCCAAGCCCAGGCTGAGCATTTGCCTTTGCTGCAGCAGCCCGGACAGCCCCAAAGGGCCGAGCTGCCCCTCATTCCTTGGACAGGCTCAGCAGAAGCAGGAACAGTATTTATTGCCAGCAACCGGCTCCTGCAAAGGGTCCATACCCGCACAGTGGAGGCCAGGGTCAGCCTGCACCCCCTGCCCAGAGCTGGCTCCCCCCAGAGCCCCGAGCATCGCCCCACACAGCTCCCTGCACACAGGACCCCCGCCACCGCGTAACACAGGGCCAGGGGAGCATCACGCTGGGACTACGGGGCACCGCAGGGTTGTGTCCTGGCAGCCAGGGCAAAGCTCCTGTGAGCTGGTGCCGGGAGCACTACCGGGACACCACCAGGAGCTGAGGCTGAAAGCCTGTCCCGTCTCCATTTCCCCACGGACAGGCGATGAAGAGGGCGGAGGACACGTCTTGTCCTGAGAGCTTGCAGGCTCCGCAGCGACGTCACGTCAGCGCACTCCTGGCTCCCCTGCGCTCTCCCCGGGTGTAGGACATCTCCCCTCTAGCCACCACCTTGTCCAGCCCCAGGCGCCGCAGCTTCTCCACCAGGTTCAAGCTGAAGATGCTGCTCCTGGGTGGGGGTCTGTCCTGCCCCCCGCCCGCAGGCAAGGGCCAGGTCTCAGCATGCTGGGGGTCCTGGGAGGGGAGCGGGGGGGCCCACCACGACCCAGTCCCTGGCACCGAGGCAGAGATGCCCCGCACCAGCAAGAGCCTGACGAGTCCCATGGGGGTGCTCGGGGGTCCGGGGCCAGGCACCAGCACAGGGGAAGACAGCTCTGGCGAGGGACTGCCGAGGCTCAGCCCCTCAAGGGGCCCACAAGAAGGCACGACAGCGTTATACAGGCTGGAGGGGAAGAGAGAGCAGAGGCGGGGGTCACCAGGGGCCCTTCTCCCAGGGGATGCTGCTGCAGGGACCAGGGAGTCCTCAGGCAGAGCAAGGCCCCCTTTCCTCCTTCCTACATGCTCATTCACCTAATGAGCCTCAGGCTGTGGGAGACCCCCATGATTGCAGCATTGCCCAAGGGCCCCAAAGGTCATGGCACCATGCTGGGGGGCCTGCAGCCGTGCCCTCCACAGCTCCCAGGCAGGCAGAAGGGGATGGGACTTGGTTGCTGCTCCACAAGCATTTTCAAACATGCAGGGTTTTGTCTAATAGTACACAGTGAACTCTAGCTCACACCAACCCCCAACGAGCCTTGGAGGGGCTCATTAGGGCTAAGCAACAGTGCTCATTAAGGGGCAGGCAGGGTCCATCCCCAGCCCAGTGCCTGGCTCCTCCAGCCCCACCTGGGGAAAGGTCCTGGTTTATGCACAAGTCCAGGCAGGAGGAAATCCATGTCCGCTCCCAGGGAAGGCGACTCCCCATCAGCATCGGGAGCAAACGCTGCTCTTGCCCCAGGGAGCTGCTCCCCAGGGTGAGCCCGGTCTCATCCACCCAGAGGACGGCTCTTCTTCCCATCAAGGTGCTGCAGCACAGAGGCCGGGGGCAGGAGGGGGGGCTGGTCCCAGCCCCCCAGGGGGTGTGCAGCCCTGGGCATGCAGCCGCTCAAGCGGCCAGATTCGGGGACATTTAGAGTGCCAGGCATCTCTCGGAGCATCAGAGGCTACAGGTGGCCCCCAGCCTGCTGCTTCCTCGAGCTGCACGGAGCCAGGCATGGGGTGAGAAGGAGAGGGTTAGGGTGGGACGGGGGGGCTGGGGTGGCGGTGGAAGG